GTTTGCCATTGACTTGGCAACCCCATGCACAAAAGAACAAAACGCTGCCTAGTCTTGTGCCATCTCCATATTCAGACCCTTGTGATCCACAGGGTTTTCACTGGCTGATTTTTGGAAGTTGATTACCAGGTCTTTCTTTCTAGTCTGTCTTAGTCTGGAAGTTCCACTGCAGCCTGTTCAGCATCATACCAACACGCAAGCCTCCACTGATAAACAGGTGGTGGTTTCGCATGAGGTGCACTGGCCAGGAATCAAACCTGGTCTCCTGTGTGATGAGGAATGCTGAATTCCTGCTCCTCCTGGGAAGAAAGCCCTAAGACAGGAGCTGGGGGAAGAGTGAGCTTCAGTTTCTAGGCCGTCTGCAGTGGAGGCTCCGCCTCCCTGATCTGGGAGGGGAAGAAGGAGCGGTCTCAGTTGAAATACCAGACTCTTGCTTTTCTTACCGAATTCATAGATACTGTTGAATAGATGTTTTTCTTCATTTGCTGTCTGCCCTTAGGACCCTTCCAGAGGCTCTGATTTATAGTGCTCGGTTTCACTCGGGAGCGTCCCTGAGTTCCTCCGCTGTCTGGCTGGAAGTTGGTCTCTGAAGGAGAAGGTTTTGTCTGTTTCTTTTTTTTTGTTTTTCTTTCACTGTTTTATGCACAGTACCTCACATACAGCCTGGCACAGAATAGGGACTGAAGAAGTATTTTTTAAATGAATGAAGCACAGAAAACAACTATTCTTTTTCTCCACTCTCTGCTAAACAAATTCTTTTTTCCTTGCTCTGATGGAAACGCAGTTACTCCCTTGGGCATTTTAGTCTTTGATGATAAGACTCCCCTCATCCTTCCAGCCACTTCAGAGTGTCCAAGAGTTCAGCCTTGCCTAGTAATGGCAGAGCTCCACGCTTCAATGAAATTTCATTTCTCCCCTACTCCCTCTCCCCCTCTCCCAGCCTGGACCTGGAATGGCAGAGTCTTGATCAGCTTCTCTCCATCCTCATTTTCCTAACCCCCTAGTCTTGAGCTGTCACTTCTGACCCCTTTAGGGTCAGCCCCCAGGGAGAGGGAGTGTGTTCATTTACTGTGGATGCTGGAACAAATCACCACAAAATTGGTGGCTTAAACCAACACAAAATGATTCTCTTACAGTTCTGGAGGCCAGAAGTCCAAAGTCAGTGTCACTGTGCTAGAGGTAAGTTGTCGGCAGGGTCTGGGGTGTCCAGGGGAGTTGATTCCTTGCCTCTTCCAGTGTGTAGAAGCTGCTGGCATTCCTTGCCTTCTCGGTTTGTGGCTCCTTCCTCCACGGTCAAAGGCAGCAGTGTAGTTTCTTGCTTTGTCCTCACACTGCCTTCTGCTGTGTCACATCTCCCTCAGCTTCACTCTTATGAGGACTCTGTGATTGCATTTAGGGCCCACCTGGATAATCCAGGATACTCTCCGCGTCTCCAGATCTTTAACTTAATCACACCATACTTGCAAAGTCCCTATTGTCTTATAAGGTCACATGCTCCCATTCCAGGAGTTGGGACCTGCATGTCTTTGGGAAACATTGTTCAGCATACTTTGGACATGTTATCAGGAGGGACCAGTCCCTGGACAGGGACATCATGTTTGGTAAAGTAGAGGGTCAGCGAAAAAGAGGAAGTCCCTCGAGATAGATTGACACAGCGGCTGCAACAATGGGCTCAAGCATAGTAATGATCATGACGATGGAGCAGGACCGGGCAGTGTTTCGTTCGGTTTTACGTAGGGTCTGTATGAGTCAGAATTAACTCGACAGCACCTAACAACAACATTCAGCTCACCACAGGGCTCAGGTCTAAGGGCAATTACGTGGCTGTTCTACTGGGTGTGGTGTGGCCACTGCTTTTTGTTTCTGTGGGTAGCTCTTGAGGGGCCTCCCGTGAGGACCTGACTGCAGCTCCCCTCAGTGCTGTTCCCATTGCCTGCTCCTGAGGCTCTCATTCTAGGCACCAACATTCACCCTCAGCTGGGGAGCCTGCACCCCTCAAGGGCTTCTCTTAGCCAAGTCCTGTTTGTGGAGACCCCTTTGGTCCCACTGGCCACACCAAGGAGATTTGTGGCTCACTTCCCACACGGCTCTCTTGACTCAGCTGTGTGCCGGACCAGGCCAAGGCTCCCAGCCTAAGGGATCTCAAGCAGGAGCCAAATTCCAGCCTGAGGCCAGGCAGCACAGGGGCTACGGAATGACTGTGGCTTTGAAACCCAGCCCCGACGCTCAAGAGCTGTAGGACCGTGGGAAGGTTACTCAGTTCTCCTTACTCATAAAATGGGGATGTCGGTTTGTTATTAGAATTAACTGAGTTAAACGTGTATAGGACCTAACACAGAATTTAAGTGCTTTTTAAATATATAAAATAAACAAGCCCTCTGGCCCACAGCTCCCATGCCCCGGTCCCCAAGAGGGGCCTTCTCCACACTTGGCCTGAGGCCCCTCAGGTTTGGAACAGGGTGAATCCCAACCCCTCTACTGCACCATTCTGAGGCCTTGAAACAGAGCTGAAAGTGAACAGGAAAAAGGTGCTTTAGAACATCCTGTCACCCCTGCTGGGGCCTGAGGCAGCGGAAGACAGGGAGGGGCTCCAAGGCCAGACTGCATGGGGTGATGCATTCTAAGTGGGGGAGCAGAGGGCTGGGGCAGACCCACCCTGCCTGACTCACTCAGAGGGCCACCCTGAACAGGTGAGGGGCTTTCTTCATCTTGCTTTTCTGTCCTCTCAACACTTTTTTGATTTTTTAATTAAACTTTTATTTTGAGATTTACCTATAACCTCTCAACTTTTTATATACAAAAATTTCAAACCTACAGAAAAGTTGTAAGAATGGCATGATGACATCCATATACTCTTTACCTACCTTCACTGATTCACGTTTGACTCAGTTTATGGTTTTTAAATCTGTATCAATGGGGTGGGGGGGCAGTAGATGTTCAGTGGAAGAATTCTTGCTTTCCATGCAGGAGACCCGGATTCAATTCCCGGCCAATGCACCTCATGTCTGTCAGTGGAGATGTGTGTTGCTATGATGCTGAACAGGTTTCAGCAGAGCTCCCAGACTAAGAGACTAGGAAGAAAGGCCTCGCGATCTACTTCCGAAAACCAGCCAGTGAAAACCCTATGGATCACAATGGTAGTATCTACAACCAGGCAGTGTTTCCTTCCATTGTACATGAGGTAGCCAACTTGACAGCAGCTAGCAACAACATATGGAAAAAAATAAAAATAACGAAACCCATTATCTTCGAGTCTATTCTGACTCATAGTGATTCTATAGGACAGAGTAGAACTGCCCCATATGGCTTCCAAGGATCACCTGCTGGATTCAAACTGCCGACCTTTTGGTTAGCAGCCGTAGGTCTTAACCACTATTCCAACAGGGTTTCCCAATAATAGCATATTTATATCTATATTGACAGATACAGAAATAAATATAGAATATGTAGATACTCTGTCCACTACGAAATATATTTCTAAAAATTCATCATTTATATATATACACACACGTATGTAATTATTTTCTTGACCCTGTCTGCTGAGAGGGTCTAGAAGAAATTACCCTTCATTAGCACCGAGCACACTTGCCACCCATGGCAATCTTGGTTTCTAAATGCTATCCTCCACTAAAAAGAACCAGGACTCCTTGCTTGGAGAGATGGCCGACTCCAGGGCTGGGGCAGGAAAAGTTTAAGATGAGCTCAAAACCTCTTTTTGTGTCAGAAGGTAAGGCTGTATCCAGAGATTGATGAAGACATGTCAGAAGGACACAGGAGCCAGGTCAAAGGGGCTCTCACTGGCCAATTCTGGGACAATTTGAGCATTAAAATAAGTAATGATATCATTGCCATTGGGTCGATTTTGGCTCAGAGCAACCCTATAGGACAGAGTAGAACTGCCTCATAGGATTTCCAAGGCTGTAATCTTTACAGACGAGCCATGGTGGCATAGCGGTTAAGATCTTGACTGCTAGCCAACAGGTTGGCAGCTTGAATCCACCAGCTGCTCCTTGGAAACCCCATGGGGGCAGTTCTACTCTGTCCTATAGGGTCGCTAAAAATTGGAATCAAGTCGACAGCAAAAGGTTTGGTTTTGATTTTGGAATCTTTACAGAAGCAGACTGCCACATCTTTCTCCTGAGGAGTGACTGGTGGGTTCAAACAACTGATCTTTCGGTTAGCAGCCACGCACTTAACCATTGCACCACCAGGGCTCCTTATGTAATGACAGTAATGAGTTATCACCTACTGACTAAAATATGAAACCATGAGTCCATACTGACACGCATGAACGAATAAATCAATGAAGAAGGGAAAACTCCTCTTTACAGAAAGAATATCTGACTTCATACTGATCTACCCAATCCCAATTGATACCTCAGGGTCTCTTCACCTTCCCTGTTCGTGTTTGCCTCCCTTCTTTCCTGGAGAGAAGAACCGTGGCTCCCAACTACATCACTGTGTTTATCCACGTATGCACCATTCTGCAATACTCGCAAAGTAGTTTCAGAACTGCTACACTGATGCAATACTTAAAACAAACCTACTAAGGAAAGTTGAAGATTTATTTAGTCCTTCTTGATCTTAGAATATGCGTCCCACTGTAGATGCCTGAGCTGAATAAAAGGATGAATAGAAGTCTCCTAGAAGGAGAAGGGGAAGAGAACACCAGGAGGAGGGCCAAGCACCTGCAGAGGGCTGGGGATGAAAGTGCGTGGTGTTGTCCCCACACCCTCCACTGCAGGGAGAGAGAAGGGGAATAATGAAGATGAGTCTGGAGGGGAGTGTGTGGTGGTGGGTGTGAGTAGTGGCTTGGAAGGGCTTTGAATGCCAGGCAAAGAGCTTGGGATTGATATGGCAGGCTCTGGGGAAGCCCAGGAGGCACTGGGGTTTAGGAAATGTGGAGGACAAATTAGCAGATTGGTGGAGGTGCCTGGGGTGTCTGAGCCAACGTGGTGGCTTTGCAGCAGTTCTCCACCCCCACTTCAGTTTTATCATCTGTAACACAGGTACAAAGTGGCCCCAATCCCAGGGCTGCAGGGAGGCTCCCCAGGGGCTGCACCTGGCCTCTGGAGCCCGCCCTGTTCTGGGGCATATCTAGGCTTCCTGTTTCTCCCCTGTCGAGGGCAGCTGCTACCTCAGCTTCGAAAGAACAAACAGGCTCTGAAAAGAACAAACACGCTCTTGGAACGGAGGAAGTCAGTGCTCCACTGCACTGCGGAGGAAGCAGGAAGCTGCCGGCCTGCTCTGCAAGCCCAGAAGCCGGACGGAGCACACGAGAGTGCAGGAGGGGCAGGGACAGTGGGATGGAGTCTGTGGCCCTGTATAGCTTCCAGGCCACAGAGAGCGATGAGCTGGCCTTCAACAAGGGAGACACGCTCAAGGTAGGCTGGGGGAGAGGGTGGAATTTAAGAACTGGGGACCCTGGGAAGCCCCCCAGAGTCCAGTCTCGGAGGAGAAAGGTCTAGCTTCTTCAGTTACTGGTTGTGCGATTCTTGACAATCCTCCTCATCCCTCTGAGCCTCAGTTTCCCCATCCAGGAAATGAGATGATTAACGATCCCTCCTTTTAGGGCTGTTGCAAGGACTCAAGGAGACATTAGCACTGTGCCCGGCAGGTAGTTGGTTCAACACATAGTTTTCCAGGAAAGAATTAAAAAAAAAAAAAATTGTTGAGAGAGTGAGAGCAATAGAAAGAGAGAGAGAAGAGAGCTGAGGAAAGAAATAAGCACACATGCTAACCTAAAAAACAAAAAAAAAAAAAAAACTAACCCACTGCTGCCAAGTTGATTTTGACTCATAGCGATCCTATAGGACAGAGTGGAGCTGCCGTACAGGGTTTCCAAGGAGCAGCTGGTAGATTCGAACTGCCAACCTTTTGGTTAGCAGCCAAACGCTTAACCACTGTGCCACCAGGGCTCCCGTGCTGACCTAGTGGGGCTAAAATAACTGATGTAAGCTTCAAGGATAAGCTTGAAGCTTGAAGAAAACGGAAAGTAGTGCCACACCACAGCTCATCTCCCCTTGTCTGAGCCCCTTGGATGGACATCAGAGCTCTCCAGGGTGGTCCAGGCAGATGGGTCTGTGAGTTCTCTCTCAGGGGCTGGATTTGGGGAGTGGCCATGCCAAGAAGTAGGCACTGGTGCAGCCATAACTAACCCTAAGGAAGCCGCTGCCTCTCCCTGGGCCTCAGTCTCCCCTTAGAGCAATGGGCAGTAGGCTGGCTGTCCCTCCACTCTGAGCCCTGGGCCCAGCTCTCAGCCCAGGTTCAGGCTTAAGAAGGGACAGAAACTCCCACTGGCTGGCTCCTACTGTAGCCAGCCCCAAGCTCAGCAGTGCATCCCAACGTTCCATGCAAGCTGCTAAGGCGGGCAGAGTTAGCACTGTTTCACAAATGGCTAAACCGAGGCACAGGGAGCTGACACAGCTTGTTGGTATGGGGTCAAATTTGAACTTAGGACCTCGTGACTCTGGAACCTGTACTCCATTTCCTGCAAGACTGGACAGGATGAGTTGGGGGTCGGGATCAAGAGGAGGAGCCACGTCCCCTTAAGGAATTCCCTCTTCTCTGTGCTTGGATATGGCCTCTGGGTCCACCCAGCCAGGGCTCTGGCCAGGGTATGAGATTCTGTGAGGACCCAGGTTTAGTTCAGAGCAGTTGGGGCTCTCTAGACTGTTTTGGGCTTTGGGAAGGAGTAGGCGGTTAGCAAATGGGAATGGGTAGGTGGTGGGCTCTGACCCAGGCTCAGAGGGTTTTACTGGTAGCTGGTAGGAGTGGATCAGTGGAAGTCCCACCAAGCAATTGTTGAAAACGCTGTGACTTCTCCCCTTTCCTCCCAGACTCCTGTCCCCTGCCACCCCCAAACCAGAGATTAATCAAGTTCTCCAGTGGTGTTAGCTGCTCCCATGACAAAGTACCATAAGCCGGGTGGCTTAAAACAACAGAAATGTATCCTCTCACAGTTCCGGAGTCTGGAAGTCAGCAGGGCCGTGCTCCCTCCAAGGCTCTAGGGGAAGATCCTTTCTCGTCTCTCCCAGTGTCTGGCAGCCCCAGGCGTGCCTTGGCTTGCAGCTGCAGCTTCACTCCATCTCTGCCTCCTTCTCCACATGGCTGCCTTCCCTCTGTCTGTCTTGTGTCTCTTCTCCTCTTTTACAATCCACTCAGATGGGATTAGGACCTACCCTACTCCAGTATGTCCTTATGTTAACTAATTACATCTGCAAAGACCCTATTTCCAAACAAGTTCATGTTCACAGGTACAGGGGTTAATACTTTAACATGTATCTTTGGGGGACACAATTCAATCCATAGGACCAACTAACCTTTGCTAGAGTTGGCAGACTCCTGGTGTGTTTGCTTCTAGCTGCTTGGGAAGGAGTGAGTGGAGGATTTGCTGCCTCCCCCACCAGACTGGCAGCACTGTGAGGGCAGGGACCACCTGCAGCACCAGGATGTGAGACAATGCCTGGTACATAGTAGGCTCTCAGTAAAATATGTGGAATGTCAAAAGAAGGAAAGAAGAATTAAAATGTTAGCTGGAACTGGAGCCTAACCCCCTATCAGTGGCACTTGCACTTCTTATCCGTAGAGACCAGGGAGAAAAACCCTTCAAGCTCGAGGAACAATGGGGGAATGACAGGCTGTGGAAGGAGCTGCCTTCTCCTTCATCCTTTCAAGAAACATTTCTTGAGCACCTACTCTGTGCCAGGCATCATCCTAAGTGCTGATGACAAACAAAAGTAAACAAAGCAAGTCCCTGCCCTCATGAAGCTGACATTCCAGAGGGGAAGATGGGCAACCAACAAGATGAGTAAGAGTGGATTTGAAGACATCAACACAGAGAGATGGAAGGCAGAATGATGTGGGGACAGAGGAGTGGGACTGCTTTAGATGGGGTGGTCAGGGCAGTCTCTTAAAAGAGGTGACATCTAGCTGAGAACAGAAGGATGAGCAGGAGCTGGCCATGTAAAGAGCTGGGGGAAGAGCACACCTGGCTGGGGTAACAGCTGGTGCAAAGGCCCTGTGGCAGGATCATATTAATATGTTTGAAGAGTTAAAGGAAAGGTCTTGTGACTAGAGAGCAGCGAGTGAGAAGGAGAAGGTGGTAAGGATGAGGTTGGGAAGTAATGAAGGGCCTGCAAAGGGTTTGGATGTGATTCTAAATGTGATGTGTGCTCATTGAAGAATTTTCAGCAGGGAAAAGACTTGATCAGATACACATTTTGAAAAGATGTCTGAAGGGCAGGAAGGGAAGAAGGGAAGGGCTGTTGCAGTCACCCAGATAAGAACCGAGGGTGGCTTTAGACTAAGAAAAAATGTATGACAAAATATTAATGTCCTTTATGTGTGAGGAGCTGTTATAAATCAATAAGAAGATCACAGACAGTGCAATAGAAAAATAGAGAAAGGCCTTGAGCCTTGTGCTGTTTTAAAGAACTACCTATATGGGATCAAATTGACAACAACAACCCAAAAGGTTAGATAGGAAGCTTGAGGGGCAATGAGTTTATGTCAATGGGGGAGGAACAATTTGGAAAAGCAGGGTGAGAATGGTTGCACAACTTGAAGAATGTAATCAATGTCACTGAATGGTACATGTAGAAATTGTTGAATTGGTGTATGTTTTGCTGTGTATATTTTCACATTTCAACAATAACAGAAAAAGAAAAATAAGCAGAAGATATGAACAGAAAATTTGCCAAAAATTAATGCAAACAAGCAAATGCCCAATTTCACCAATAACAAAAGACATGTAACTTAAAGCAAGTAACTTTCTCATTTGCCGGATCAGCAAAATTTTATTTTAAAATGAATATCCAAAATAGTTGAGGGTGTGGAAAAATGTGCACTCTCCCATGTAGGCAGTGGACAGGTAAAGTGACACAATCATTTTAAAGGGCATTTGGGAAGAATATATAAGAATCTTACAAACAAATAGCCATGCCCTGCAACCAGAAATTCAATTTCTGGAAAAGCAAGAGACATGATCGGACATTACATGAGTCCTTCCATTAACAGTGCTCACGGGACACCCACTGTTCTAGGCAACATAAGTCAGCAGGGAAGAAAACAGACATGGTCCCTGCTCTTATGCTGCCAACATTCCAGCAGCAGATATGGCCCACAAGCAAGATAAATCAGTGAAATACAGTTTGTCGGGTGGTACGAGTGCCATGGAGAAAAATAAAGGGCAGGGGATAGAGAAGTTGGTGATAGTTTGCAGTTTAGAATCAATCTAGACTACCTGTTAAGTGATGGTACAAAATATTATACAGCCCCTAAAAATGTCATTTTTGGAGGATGTTTAACAACATAAAAATGGTCATGATCCAACATTAAGTGGCAAAAAGCAGAATGCAAACATATATACTCAACAGAGACAATTGACTCTCTGCAGATGATCAGTAGATGTAATTTTCTGGAGGGAAAATTGACTTTATGCTCTGGGTCTGTGCACAGAAAAAAGACTAGAAAGAAACATCCTGATGGTTAGCAGTCCTCAGTTCTGGGCAGCAGGCCCACAAGCGGTTGGTGTTTCCTTCCTTACTCTTCTGCGTTTACCACAAGTTCTACATCAAGCCAGTGTTCCTTCCCAGGCCAGGGCCCCCACTCTCAGGGTCACGCAAGTGCTCATCAAATCCTGTCTTTAAGATTTTGATGCCTTTTTTGTGTTAACTTTTTTAATAGACTTCATTTTTTTAGAATAGTTTTAGATTTACAGAAAAATTGAGAATGTAGTACAGAGGGTTCCCATATGCCCCACACCCAGTCTCCCCTACTGTTAACATCTTACATTACAATGGTGCGTTTGTCACAGCTAAGGAACCCGTAGTGATACATTATTATTTACCACAGTCCTTATTCAGATTTTTTGCATTTATTTTTATTTTTTAGCATATTGCATAAAAATGTTGTTTATCTTGGTTACTGAGTTTTTTTGGTGCCCCCTTAAATTTTGTGCTCTCCAGCCTCACTCTAGTCCCGCCCTACTTTTCATCACCATAGCAATGTTACTGCATTGTCGCTCTGCACCCCCGCTTCCTCTTCTCAGACAGAGCCTCAGTGTGCCCAGTGTCCAGGCGTCTAGCCCCTTCCTAGCTAGGTGGAGGCTCAGCTCAGTGGCCCATCCTGTTCACAGTCCCACAGAGCACCCTCTTTGGGCCCAGCCCTGTCACAGCAGTGACCACAGTACAGGTGAATTTTCACTAACTTTGGGTGGTCCAGCCTGGTCCCACAGCCTTCAGGAGTCTGCCATGGAACTCGTTCTTCAAAACTGAGTGTTGGTCTTGGGTAAGAACTCAGTGGGACATGGACTCAGTCTGGACAAATGGCCACCCCAGTTGGACTTGGCTCCATAGGTCCCTGGCCCCAAAGGTCACTTCCC